TTTTCGTAACTTTTTACCACCTTTTTATCACCTTTTCAGCCATTTTTAAGCAACTTTTTAAGTACCTAAAACACTTTTTTAGTCACCTAAGAATCAATGCTTTAATGATGAGATTGTGGTCGATTCATCGAGTGTCCGCGATAAGCCAAAGTGTACTAAAAAATAATATATTTTATTTTCATAATTAAATCTGAAGCTATAAATCTGATAAAAGGATTTAATTTATATTTAATTTGTTGATTTTTGTTTGTAGTAATTAATGATATAAATGTTAATTCAAGAAACAACTAAATAATTAATAGAACTACTTATTATATTTTATTAAATCAATATAATATATAAAATAATCGCCTAAAAGTGGGTGTATGCATTCCATAACATAAAATAACATTCATTGTTTTCATAACATTGAACATAAAATTGATTTATATAACGGAAGGGTGTCCAGGGGGTTGGAGTGTTGGGAGTGTCCACGAGTGTTGGGACAACCACGAGTGTATGTGGGCTGTCCTAGTTATTTATAAAATAAATAAATGATATGGTAATGAAAGTAATACAAAGTAATAATGGTAATATAAATGAACCTATAATTAATTCAAAATAAAATTAAAACTAATTTAATGAATGTAGTTAAATATTTTTGTCAAATGGTGTGTAAAATGAGGGTGGCGTGAGAAAATAGTATTAAAAGTACTTTTAATATTACAATAATGATAATAAATCATTAATATTTATCGATATAAATGCTAGTACATTTCCTGAGCTTGTTTAGATTTTATAAAAATTGTTTTCATTAATACAAATTCCATTTCTTTCTTGTTATTAAAAAATGAATTAATGCAATTAAAGTAATGTTTTTGTAATATTATTATAAATTGCTATAAATAAATATTGTTTTGAATTCTTTACTGATTAACAATCAATGATTGATGTATTATAAATATAGTGTATTTAATAATTATAATATTAAATATTTTAATTACTAATGAAGGGTTGGGTGCAAAATATCAGTCAAATCACATAATATGTGATATATAATATTATTTAGCGCAGTTTAATATTTAAAATAATACAATTATTTAAGGAAATGTTGGGCGATAAAGGGTGGTTATTAATAATAACTTATTATTGCTGTGTCAGCACAAATATCAGTCAACAGTCAATTAGTATTTGATCATCAATTAATTGACTTGATAATTACTTTGTAAACTAAAAGTAATTGTAATTTTTAATTATAGTTAATTTGTTCAATAGTTATTTATGACCGCTTTTAATAACTAATTAATATATTAATTGCTGCGTAAACGTCTATTACAATTACCAAGAAAATGTGTAATATATTGTTATTTAATTAAAACTAATCAACTAGTAGTTATACTAACTATATTTATATACAACAATTTAATTATTAATTTATTATTTTATCCATTATTGATTAAAATTTGCATTGATCAAAATTACTAGATCAAGCAAACCAACAAGGTGCATTGGTAGCAGATACGCGATATTTCGGTGTATTTCGATGCGGTAAATGTTACGGCAAATGGAATTCTGCCTCGTGTTGGCTCGGATTCAAACAACAGTGTAAATGTGGACAGTGGTCAGACCCATCACACATGGTAAGTGCCCATCACATACACACTGCCCCCATCCCTTGTCCTCCGCCACTTATTTTTACCTTCACATTTAATTATAGTTAAGTATAAATAATACACTATATTTAATTAAATGACATTTAATTGATGTACATGAGCAGCGTCCATTGAAACCATCGGAGTATCAGGCCCGGGGTAGTCATGGTATCCATGCGGTGGACAAATGCCAAAAGTGTCAGTCGTTGGGTCGCGACTGCAGTCGCAATGATTAGGCGTATTGGCGATGATGTTGGCTAACAAATAGGCTTTTAATTATAATTTACATTTTAATTATTTTGTTATAATTTTTAAAATTCTTACACTTTTTAAAATAGTTTTTATTACTTTTAATTAATTATTCGGAATTTATAATTGTATGAAAATTTTACAATTAAATAAATATTGCTTAACATATTGTTTTTAATCAATAAAAGGAGAAAACCAATAATATTATTCATACTGAATTGTGGTTAAAAATATTTTTCAAATGCTTCAGTAGTTAGGTAATTAATAAATAGTAGCGTAAGGTCGGCATAAACCAAAGGTCGGCATACCCCGCAGGTCGGGTTACCCCGCTCTAGGCTTAACAAGGCTAACCTTAGCTAACCAAGGCTTACCAGTGTATAGCCCTATTAGGGAGGGCATATCTAACCAAGGTATAGCTGTTTTAGGGAGGGTGGGGTAACCAAGGTATAGCTGTAAGGGCAAGGCTTACCAAGGGTAGCCACAGTAACCAAAGCTTAACAAACCTAACTATTGTGGGGCGGTACGCCCCACAATAGTTGAAATGCCTTACCAAGCTAACCACGCCTACCAAGACTTATCAATGTATAGCCGTTTTAGGGATGGCAAGTCTTACCAAGGCTTACCAAGGCTTACCAAGGCTAACAAAGCTTACCAAGGTAAAGCTGTTTTATAAAGAATAAAGAATGTAAACAAAAAGTTGTATTTAAATAAAAATTTTATTTAATAGTTAATGTTAATAATAATGAAAATTAATGAGAATAATAATGTAATACATGTAATTAATATTTGAGTGTAATTAAGCTTAATAATGTTATAATACATTTAATCAAAGTATTTTGAAAAATCTGTTGAATCTTTAAGATACATAGCCATTAGTTTAACCTTTTGTTGAGCACAAACACCATCAACTTTGTGAATGTGTCGATCACAAGTGAAGTGATTACAATAATAGCGGACGAGAGATTTATATGAAGGAGTATTCACTTCAACAAATGGTATGTCCAATTCTTGAAGCAGTTGGCCAAATTGTGTGTTCCTGATTCCGATGACACTGTCTTCTGATTGACGATATCTTTTCCATAACAATACTATAAACACTTTTAATTTGTAGTAAGGAATGCTTCCTTCAGGTGCATTATAGGGAAGACCCGTATAATTTGTTCGGATGTACTCATTGGTAATCTTATCGCTGGTGTTTAGAGAATCCAGTTCGAACGGAATTTCCACATCCCAGCTATTTGTATGACCAGAATTTATTCCGAACACAGCCAACTCTCTGGGAACGAATGTTGAATTCGCCCAAAAACCTTGAGCATCGAAAATTGCGCAAATTTTTGACATTTTGAGGTTTTTTAATATTAAATTTGCGAAATCCTTTTAATAACATTTATCAATAAATCACTTATCTCATCATTTATTTTAAATATTTGGGAATTAAACAATTTTTGAATTTGAAATAACCCCATATCAAGTGATTTTAAAAACACAAATACAATACAAAATTGTCCACAGTTTTTTGAATTAAGTCCTTGTATGATTTGTTGATTATAAATCCAGCCATTCGGGCAATTGTTGTTTAAAAAAGTAACGAATTCTTCTTTCATAGGATATAGTCCATATGAGTCAAAATATATTCCAAATTTTTCTTTTGAAATATGAACTCCAACCCAATGTTCTCCAGTGTTAGTTAAAGGATGTGTATTCATTATTAATGATGATGGATAGGTTTTAATTTTGGGTAATTTGTCGAGTGCAAAAGCCCCTTTATAATATGTAACGTTTTTTAAAATATTATTTATTTCAAATGTATTCATTATTAAAATTGATCAATTGTGGCATTTCTTTTTTCGTCAATTTCAAGAAGTTTGTCGAATTCACAAAATATTAGGACAGTTATTGTTTCATTAATTGGTTTTTCAAAACGAAGCGCAAGCCGAAGAGAACCAAATTTAATTTGATTCAAATGACCAACAGATCCGCATCCATTGCTCAAGTCTGGGGCAAAATTTAAACTATAAATACTATTTCCTTTGTTGTAATTGTCACGATTAATACTAAATGTTGAATCACAATCAATCATGTCTAAAGATTCATACAAATTGTATAATTCTCTTTGATAAATTTTGTTAGAAAAATTTGGATTAAATCCATTTTGAGGGTATTGTTCTCCATCCAAATATACAATTAAATTTGAAAGATTGTAATGTTTAAAATTAAATGGATTTAAGGTATAATCACCACAATACGAATCATTACTAACTAAGCATATGAATATACGTCGAGGTAGTTGACCGCTGTGAATGTTATCTATTAAGATATCATTTGTTCCTTTCAAAAGTGTAAATGTTTTTACTTTATTTACAGTTAATATATATTTTGCAGGAGCTATTTTAAGAGCTGCATTATGAGATTCAACAACCATTTTATTCACTTTAGATCGATGAACGATAATATTAATTCAACTTCTGGTTTATGTGTTGTTGACATTAAATAAAACTTTGATTCATTTAGTAACAGACGAATTGATAGTTTACAACCACCAAGAAGACTTCTTCCCTGAAATGTTAAATCTGTATGCAATCGACCAATTAAATCCAATTCATTATATTTTTCTAAATATGCTGTATTTTCTGACACAATTATTTCTTCTTTGGAATCTTCATCGTTATACCACAACGCAGTAGACAAATGACTATTTTTCATATCTTTACTGAATCCAAAGAATGCTTCAAAATATGCTTTGTAAGCATATGTAGGTGATGATGTAGTAATTTGCTTGTCACCAATGAAAATATCAACTTGTTTTATCATTGAGTGAAGCAAATAATTAACAGGACATATTGTCTCAAATTCTTTGTCATCTGTGATTGTAGTACATTTTTTAAGTTTTATTTTCATACACAGTGTCAATTTATCAAAGTCTATATATTCATCAACAGCTGTTTGAATATCAAACTGAATTGATAAGTTTGCATCGACAGCTGAAACGGGGCGATGTTCAGTGATGATATCTTTGTCTATCATGTTTTGTGTTGGAGGAATCCCGAACAAATCAAGCTTTGATAGACGTGCGTTTGAAGACATTTCATGTATCATTGTTTGCATGATTATTACAAAAGATTTGTTAGTTTTCTATTAGAAATAATTTCTTCGACTGATCTTTTGGATGTCTTTCGTTTAGGTTTTTTTCTTTTAATTACTTTTTTCTTTCCTTCACCTCTTAATTTTTTAGCAAAACTTATACCATCATTGGCTAAATCTTTACCAGATTCTATTAACCGCCGTTTTAATGTCTCTTTAATACTTTTATTATCATTGACTATATCTGAAGCAATATTTGCTCCTGTGGTAAGTAGTTTAGGTCCTAAAAACCTTATTAGTGGAAATATAGCTTTTGATAGAACTCTGCCAAAAAATCCATGACCTTTTTGGAATTTTACTCCTTGGAACCCAGCAAGTCCGCTACCAGCTTGCTGGACATAATAATCCATATATGGATTATTCATCGTTTCTTGAAATGTAACTTTACTCTTGTTCTACCGTATAAGAATGGTACACGGGTGTTTGTATCGTCTTTGATATCGATTTCGATAATTTCAATGTCGTTGTATAATACTCGTACGTAATGAGGGTTTGGATACGTCCGTACTATTTGATCTCCAAAAATATTAGAATTAGGTACTTCAACAACTCTTAATAATGGAGCTCTAATATCACCGATATATTGAGGTTCAATAAAGTTTGTATAAATATACAAATTGCGATAATCCAATTTTGAATCAGGAGGACTAATGCCTTCAATTTCTTTTAATAAATTATACTTTGGATTTATAAATAAATGCTCTTCAAACCCTAGTATCTTTGATAAATTTTTACTTAAATAAGGCAAAATCCCATTGCCTTTTGCATCATATCCAGGGATAATTGACAATAGTTTTGTTGTATTATCGAAATAAAATTGTGGAGTTTTAATAATATTTGTAATATTGTGTGACATAAACTGTTTTTCAATTTCTTTACACAACGCTTTAACCGATTCATAATAACCATGGCTAATTTTAAACACATTGCCTGGTTGATAATTACCATTAAAGTTGTTCAAATATAATTCAGTGGCAAGCGAAACGTATTCATCATTAAGCAAATTTTTCCAACTGTACGTATAGGATATTTCAACTAATGCAACATCCCAATAACCAACTAATGGTTGGTGAAATGCTATTTTATTTTTAAAATTTGCAACAGTATTATCATTGAAACATTTTGAATTGCTTTGTAATTCTATTTAAAATGAATTGGAGTTCATTTTGACAATTGAAAATTTAGTAATTCGTTTTCAGGTACCCACGAATTATGTTTGAATGAGTAGTTTAACCATTTGACTAAAAAACCTTTTATTCCATTTCGCGACTCTCTTTTAATAACCTTTTCAACTCTGTATAAATTGTTTTTAATTTTTTGAATTTCTTCAGGATAAACTCTTTCAGGAATGACGTTCCCATCAACATCTTTAATTTTATATAGAGGTTTATGAACGCCAAAAGGTGTTTCAGAAATTGTGTACACTTCATCAGTCCATTTTGGATAATAACTTTTATCCATTGATTGTAAGACATATTTTCTTCTAACAGTATCCCCAATAGATAATTTGGGTTTAATGTTTGAATTAAATAAATAATCATTAGGTGCATTGTGATTATAAATAATTTTGAAAATAATTGCTTTATTTTCATCTTTGACTTCTGTTGGCTTAGCTTTTATTGTGCGATGATAACTGTTATTATAGCTATTAATTAAATCTTGTAATACATCCATATATCGTTTAGTGCCTTTATATGTAAAATATTTAAACATTTTATTTTTCAATGTTCTATTGAATCGTTCGACAATAGCACATTTAAATTGAGTATTATATGTTGTGAAGAAATGAATATTGTTCTCTTTTAAATAATTTTGAACATAACTATTTAAAAACTCTTTTCCTCTATCTGTTTGTAATTTAAATGGTTTTCGTTTTTCAAATATTTTTAACC